CCTGTCTTGTTCACTAACCACCCGCAATGCAGTTTACCCATCTGAAGTGCTGCAGCATGTGTATTTAAATGAAGTTTAAGTTTGAGCTTTCAATCATTACCTGTATATAACACTGTTCAAAGAGTAAGATGATCCATCATAAGAGTTGGCTACGACTAAGAAGTGCTCATCTCCAACAGAAAAGAATTCCCAGTCCACCGCACTGCCATACATGAGGAAATCAAGTTAAAAAAAATGTGGATAATTATTGATTCAACCCCCCAAAACCGTTTATAGTTCAGGCCGTACCTGTATGTTACAATGTCTTGGAATTTGAGGAACATCTTGGTTGTCATATCAAGTTCATATATAGTTGAGTTGATGGTATAGAGGCTTGGTCCTCTCTCACACAGCATGTGTCCATTAGCAACAGCTAGGAAGACTCTGTTTCCAATCTGAAACATCTCCCAGTCTGTAGCCCCAAATGTCTAGAGAAATGAACAGATCTATGTTGAGAAAGAAAAATAGATTTGGTCTGGTAATAATAATAAGTTTTCCAAAACACTCATGCTGCCATGGCTTTTATCATTGCCTTTAAAATGTATAGAAGGTTGAGGTAAAAGGCTGCTTACACCATTTCTGATAAGTAGAAGTTAAACCTCAGAAGTATTTCTATACTAGGTTAAGAAAGTTGTAGCATCTGCATTTTTGGGAAACACAGTCTTGCTGAATTGACACTGACTGCATCCAAAACTTCATGAGATCCATATCACATCACTGTGATATATGACTTTGATTTTGTTAGATGGTAGGATCCCAAGATTTTAATTATAGTGTAACATCATCTAAATGATTGATATTAACAAAAAAACTCTTCTTGTTCTTTTTTCCCCAATTAAACATATCTGCACATGGGGAAATTGCCATCAGAAACGGCTGAAAACATCACAAGCAGTAATAAGTCTGCCTTGTTAAGTCTGTTGACTTTGGATCAGTGATTTAGAAAAAATTCAACAATGATTAAAAATGTTTCACATTTTTATAGACTTGAATAAAAGCAGCCATTACTTTTTCATCTGACTTCCGGATTGCTAATTTGAATAATTTTTATATAAAATAAAATATTCCAAAGAAATTCTAATTT